ACATCAAGTTGGCCATGCCCAACCAGTCACATGACCACCTAGCCACGCCCACCCAGCCAGTCATCAGGCAGATCATATCAGTGGTCCGTGGGATTTTAAATTATGAATTTAGTGGTCCCTGAGTTCTGAAAGGGTGGGGACGCCTGCGCTAAAATACTGTAGGGTGGTGTATAAGTCTTATTGCTATTCCTTCTTCCTGCCCTGACAGGATGTAACCGGCTGACGGATCAGTGTCTGCCCCTTTTCCGCCGCTGTCCACGCCTCTCCCGTATTGACCTCCGTTCCTGTCACCACATCACGACAGAGGCCTGTGCCCGATTTGCCGAGGACTCGGTCTCCAACAGCAACGCTGTGCCCCCCGCCCCCGGCGCACCCTCACCTCCTTTTCGTTGCCCCGAGGAGAAATTGCTGCTGAAGGACAGCTAATACTCGCCCTGGGGTGGAGGCGCAGAAAGACTCAGCTTCACCAATCCGACCGTCGGACACGGACTCTGAGAGAACCTTTTTACTTAAAGCCATGCACTGAACCGGAGTGGCATCTCCACCCCCTTACTTGTGCAGCAAAGAGGGTGCCGGTGGGGGAGGGGGGATCGTGCCCCCTTCCCCAGGCCCGGCCTGCTGAAGGCCAGGTGGCCTTTTGCTCCATCCACTTGTTCCTGGACAGCCGCGGAGTAAGTGGGGGTCCGAGGTAGCCTTGTCACTTTACAATGCTGGGGAAAATGCGTATTCCTCCCACCATGCACTGCGTCTCCCCCTCTTTCCCCCTCCCCCGCCTCCAAATATCCCTCCGTGCCACCATTGGTACACCCCGCTATCTCGGGGCGACAGGGGAGGGGGGGAGTTGACATTCAGCCTTGAAATGCTGGCTTGGGAGGAAGGCAGCTTCTTTGATGGGGTCGGATATATTACGTTTTTCCAGCCCCCGTTCCTTGCCCAATGCAAATGTGCACTCCAACCTCCTCAGTCCTCCGCCCCTGCCCCCATGCTGCCTTGATTATTTTTAAAGGGCGCATGCACGTATATGCGGGCTTGTGAGTCTGCCCACCCAGTTCCTTTTCCTCCCTCCCCAGTTGTGCATCTGCAGTGTGGTTTTCCAAGGGGGCCAAGCAAGGACCAGCCAGCTGATTTCCGGATTTCCTTTGCCCTGTCTTTTCCCACTGCTGTACCTGCTGGGGCTCCTTCCTGCCTCTCTCTACCGCTGTCTCTTTCCCACAGCACCGGACGGTCTCTGGAGCCGGCACATCCATTTGATCTGCTTCCTGCATCGGTGCCCTTTGTGCCCCTAATTCTCTTCTCGCCCGTCCATTGGAGGCCAGAAAGTATCTCTATAGGTATCCTTCCCTTGAGATTCTCTCCTCCTCCTCCTCCTCCTCCTCACTCTCCCTCCCAGCCGATCCCAGTATGCAGCTGAGGCCTCTTGGGGATGCAGCTTTGCCAAATGCCATCCCCAGTGCCTCACTGGATGCCCACACTGTGAAACACACCTGCTGCGTCCTGCACGCACAGCGTGCCTGCTGCTGTCTTGTTTACGCATTAAACCTACATATGCATGCGCTCGCAAGCCCACACCATGTGGATGGAGTCCCTCGCCAAGTTTTGGGCCTCTCCTCCTTTGCCAAGTTAACTTTCATCCTACACACAGACACAAGGCGTCAGTGTGTGTCTTCGCTGCTTTTGACCAGTATGGACTGCAGGTGGTGATGGTGGGGGAATAAAGAGTTTTGCTCATGGGAGCAGAGAGGCAAGGCGGAACACTTTGTCCAAAAGAAAGGGAGTAAAGGGGAGGCACTAAACCTGTCTCACTCAACGTGTGTTGGGATCCTTCCTGGAGGAAAGGCCTCTAAAAATCCACTCTCCCCTCTCCCTCCAAGCCCCCTCAGCCCTCGGGCAACGTGTCCGCTCAGCACAGTATTTCTCAGCCATTAAGACGTGCGGACTTCAACTCCCAGGATTCCCCTGCTAGCATGAATTCTGGGAATTGAAGTCCGCACATCTTAAAAGTTGCCGAGGTTGAAAAAAACACAAGTCTACAGTATTGTTTCAGAGCCCTGGGCTGTTCCTGGAGGAAATTCCCACTCAGGCTGTTTTCATCCCACTTTGGCAGGCTGGATGGATCCCGCAGCTCCTTTCAAACTCTTGTTATTCCACCTTCTGTGGAGCAGCTTTTCCACAGAGGGCTTCCCATCACTTCTTCCCCCAGAAGCGTTCTTCCTCTCTTCGACATGCCCGCTTTTCGACGCTGGACAGAAAAGTCCTCGCAGCTTCCCTCTCCAGTCTTCCCTTTCCTTGGTTCTTGTTATTTTGGACCACGAGCTTTAATAACCACTTGGGGGAGCGGGGGGGGGGAGCGTGGCGGGAGGTCTGCCTGTGTTCCTTACTCACAGGGCCAACTATGGCTGAGCAGGAGTCGGCGGGGCCTTCTCTTAATTCCAGCCACTTTCCGCGGCCTCCGAATCTCAAACTTGAACCCTCCCATCCAGCTGTTCGGGTGTGCACGTGTGTGTGTGTGTGCGCGCGTGCTTGGGTATGTACGCATGTGGGATCCC